CCCTAGAGACTGGTGGGCTGGGGGCTCCTGACTTCACTCTACCCACCCTCCACCCCTCCCCACTCCCACTGTCCTGATTCACTGAAGCCCCAGACTGACACCTTGGCTGAATGGGAGGCAATGTCTCTTGTTCTTTCAGCATGAAGATGAGGGCAGTCATGATCCCCTCATAGGCCATTTTCAAGGCCAGCTGGTACCTTGGGAGAATTCTAGCCCCTCCTTTGGTCCCCGACACCAGAATGATCTATTCCCTGTTCCGCTGAACTTCTCCTGCCTCTCCAGTTACAGCTTCTTCCAAAAATGTCCTTGACATCTCCACTTGTGAAATTCTCATCTTTCAAGAAATAGCTCAAATGCCTCCTCCTCTAGGAAGTCTTCCCAGATTCTCTTTCCCTTATCCCTCTTTCTCCTCCCTTTTCCCGGAGCAGGAAGTAAACTCTTCATCTTCTGAATCCTCATGACACAATACATTTTGTCCCAGGAGCCTCGTGTGCTAATCCCTACAGCGCTCACACTGGACTCCTGGGCATTTTCACTGGCTGCCCTCGATGCCTGAAATTCTATCGTTCATTTCTGCCTCCTAGCTTCCTTCATTTCCTAGCTAAAATACCACCAGCTACAAGAAATCTTTCCCAATCTGCCTTAATGAATGCTAGTGACTTCCCTTTGTTGTTTATCTCCAATTTATTATATACATAATCTGTTATATGTTTTATATATGTGTGTGTATAGATACAGATAGACAGATCTTATTTGTTCATAGTTGTGTGCATGTTTTCTCCCCCATTAGACTATGAGCTCCTAGAGAGCAGCCTTTCAATGGCTAGCACATAGTAGGTGCTTAATAAATGCTAGTTAACTCACTGAGGGGTTACCTAACCTACTTGCTAGGGCTGTCAATTTACTCCCACAGCCTTCCCTCTCCCAGTGTTAATATGCTATGGCAGCATAGCATAGTGGATAGAGAGAGAGCTGTGCTGGTAGTCAATAAGTCTTGGGTTTTATCCAAAGTGCCTGGCACATAGTAGGAACTTAAATACTTATTGATTCATTCAAATCTCTCTCTGAAACATCATAGCTAGGCAAATCAATTTAACCTACTATACATTACCATTTACACTGGTGCAGAGAAGTTTCCTCACCAAGAGTTCTTTATACCAGTGGAAACATATATTTGAACCAGACAGCTGGACCTATGATTTCACTGGTATATGGAACTCTTGGTAAGGAAACTCTGCCAGATGGGCAGCTTGCAGTACCAGAGAGTTGCCTGGGACAGGGAAGGTTAAGTGACTTTTCCTGGGCAATGCATTTAACAAACATTTCTTAAGCACCTGTGCATAGTCCTGTGCTGCTAGAAGAAATCATTGGTTGTTAAAATTTTGAATTGTAAGGGACTTTAATGCAAAATTTTAAAAGAGTCACTTTCCCTGTCCTCAAGGAGCTTACAGTCTGAAAGATGGACAACACAAACATAATAGTAATTTATTTTTACAAAGCTTTATCTCTTTTGTTGCAAACAACAGCCTTGTGAGATAAGTAACATATATATATATATGTGTGTGTGTGTGTGCACTTATTCATGTGTTTATGTGTGTATATATACATACACATGTGGCACCTAGGTGGTGAAGTGGGTAGGGCACTGGGCCTGAAGTCAGGAAGACCTGAGTTCAAATTAGGCCTCAGACACTTACTAGCTGTGTGACCCTGGGCAAATCATTTTGCCTCAGTTTCCTCATCTGTAAAATGAGCCAGAGAAGGAAATGGCAAACCACTCCAGTATCTTTGTCAAGAAAACCCCAAATGGGGTCATGAAGAGTTGGACAGGACTGAATGACAACATACATAATGTAAATATATAAAATGTGGTCCAGACCTGTGTTTTCATCGATAAAGGGAACTTAACGGGATGAAACTTACTTTATCAAAGTACTCTATATAGTCTTGGAGAATTGTCTAGAGGTACAGAGATTCAGTGACTTGCCCAGGGTCACACTGCCAGAGTACCTGAGGTGGCACTTGAAGTGTGAAGAATCTTGCCTAGAGGCTGGTGTTCCTTCATGCCACCTCTCAGGTAGTGTCAGGTAAACACTTTAAAATGTTTGTTGGCTGACTAACATTTTTACTGGAGAACAAAATGAGGATCAGAGATGGGAAATCAAATCAATAAATACTTATTAAGCACTTACTATGTACCAGGCACTGTGATAAGTGTTAGGAATATAAATACAAGTAAAGTGACTTGCTTAAGGTCACACAGCTAAAAAGTGGGAAGAAGTAAGACTTGAACACTCATCTTCTAACTTTTAAGTCCCAGACTTTTTACACTGTACCAAAATTCTTGGGACTAGTAGGGAAGCAAGATGAGCAGTTTTTTTTTACCAGTTTTTTGTTTTTTTTACCAGTTTACCAGTCTTACCAAAGGTAAGACGCTCAGGGGCCAAATCGCAATAATCTTGCTTCAAATGAACCTGAAAGCAAGAGCTTTTTTTTTTTTACATGACTTCTTATAAAGGGACATGCTTTTCATACCAGAAAGTACAACTAGCCAGGAGCTATAATGGCTGATTTCATGATTAAATCAAGTCCTGCCACAGTGTACTGGAAAGAGCCCAGCTTACAGTGAAAGGTCTGATTTTTAATGCCATTTCTGATATTTACAATTGGTGTGGACCTCAAACAAGTCACTTCCTCTCTGTGGGTCTCAGTTTCCTCATTGGTAAAATGAAGGAACTGGCTTCATGCCTTTTGCAAAGGTGGGGGAGGGGGGCATCTATTAGTGGGAAACATTACATATATTGTCAGAATTTTTTTTTGTACTGATCAGATTTGCTGATTTTTTTCACCCTTTTCCTCTTTTTCTTTCTTTTTTTTAATTCTTTGTTATGTGGGATAGCTCTCTGGGATGGGGAGGGATACAAGAGAAAGCAGGAAATGTAAAAAACAAAGTATCAATAAAAATTTATTTTTAAAAAATGAAGGGGTTAGACTAAATGATCTCTAAGATCCTTTTCACTACTAAATTCTCTGAAACCTCTTTTCCATCAAAGTTCTCTGATACCTTGTCAGATCATTGGGGTGGCCCTGGCCCTCAAAGGCCATGCCAGTCAAATACAAATTCTGCAGTGCTGGAGAGGATCCTAGAATTTACACTGGAAGGGACACAAGGCCATCTAATAGACCCTTTTACAGATGAGGAAACTGAGGGACAGAGAGGGGAAGGCACTTGCCTAGGAAGGCCATACAGCTAGTGTAAGTAGCAAAGACAGAATTTGAAACTGGCTTTTCTAGCTTTAAATCCAAAGTTCTTTTCAAGCACTAGGGAAAACTATATTGTCGGAGAACTAGCCTTATCCCCCTAGGGTGGCTACTAGGGGATGCATTTCTTTGACCTTTCAAGATCTTTGTTAGGGCCTCACCCATATTAATTGGTATGTATGCTTATTTACTTATCTATGTGTCCCATTGTTTGTCCCTAGCCCCATTAAAATGTAAGCTCCTCAGGGGCTGAGACTGTTCAGTTTTTATCTTTGTATCTGGGACTGTGCCTAGCACCGTGCCTGGCACATAAATGCTTAATAAAGGCCTGTTAGAATAAACAAATAAATGAAGGACCAAATAAATGATTGGCCAGGGCTGCGCATGCAGCCATCTAGTAAGGAAACAGTGGAGGGGGGTTGTGATCTGTGAAGGTTGAAGTAGGACCCATACTGTGGTATTGAAGGGAGTATGTAAATTTGTATGCAGATTCATCTGGAAGGGACTTTACTTCGGCAGCTCGCCCGGGGAGGAAGGATTGATGAGCCTTGACTCGGGGTCAGGATATGTTGGGGGCCCTGAAAGGGGTTCCAGCTCCTGTCTGCTCAACAGGACATATGGATAGCACTGCAGGAAGTCTTGGGAAAAGCAGAGGGAGTAAAATATTCAATGTTTCAGCTTTTTCTCACCAGGGATGCCCGTACAGAGAGCCCAAGGGTGGGCAGGCAGGCTGGTGGATCCAATTTGGGAGTGTGCACAGCCGAGAGAGACTGGGAATCTGTAGGGAGGCGGGCCGAGTCTCCCAGGCAAAATGAACTTAACAGAAATCAATGCACTTCATGGGTGTGTGAGGCCCAGACCACAATCTCAATAGGAGTTCACCGCGTGACTCAGAGGCCAAAGAAACTGATAGAGTTTTAGGCTGTGTTAATAGAATCAGATTATCTAGCACTAATAAGGCAGGTAGTGATTCCCCCGTATTCTGCCCTGAGCAAACCAGATCTGCAGCTCTGGGTTTGGTTCTGATCACCACATTTTCAGAGAAATATTGACAAACTAGAGCATTTGTTGACATGACAAGGATGATGAAGGAACCAAAAACCACCTCACCAGAGGATCCCGTGAAGGAACTAGAGATGCTTAGCTGAAAGACTAATTAAGCTGAAAGAAAAATTAGGTGAGATTGCTTTCCTCTATTTGAAAGGGCTATAGTCGGAAAGATTACATTTGTCCTGCCTGGTGGATCATCGGACCTAACTAGTTAGCAATGGGCACAAGGAGGAGAATTCCTTGAGGCAGATTTTTAGTTCTATAGAAGGAACATCTTAACAATCAGAGCTCCCCATAAGGGTACCTGGATGTCTCTGGACAGAGTGAGCTCCCTCCCTATTACCAGAAGTGTGGGTACCCAGGCAAGGATGTGCTTATTATGGATGCTGGTGTGCTACCTGGGCACTGGATAGGAGGTGAGACTGGTTGACCCATGTGGTTCCCTCCAGCTCTGAGATGCTATGGCATAAGAGATGTTCCATCTTTTAGGTTTCTTCAGTCAACTGTGAATACACGTTGAGTACCCACTGTGTACTTAGCTTTATGCCGAATGTCCTTTGGAGATATTTAGAAAAAGTAGAAGAGCTCATCTCTGCCTCAGTTCCTTTTGGGGTTCCTTTGTGGTCCGTCACCAGGCTCTGTCTGATTCCCCCTACCAAGCTCACCCTCCCTCCTTTGGCTTTCTCCAGGAAGTGACTGCTCTGGCCAGAGGCGCTAATCCCAGCTGGGAGGACTCAGGACTGGAAGATGCAGCCACTGCCGTCTGTGTTACGGGCTCTCTTGGTGGCGTCTGGATTCCTGGCCATTCATGCCTTTACCTCTGAAGAGGTGGAACAGGGTACGGCTCTTGGGGAGAGAGTATAAGTTAGGGGGAAGTAGGTCAAAGTGAGGGCAGATCCAGGGGGAAGTTTCCCAGGGAAACCACAGGGTCAAGGTTCAGAAACAAGATGCAAGATTCATGTTCTGGCTGTGCCACTAACAAGCTCGATGACTTTATCCAAGTCACTTCCTTCTCCCTGACCCTTAATCTCTTTATGTGAAAGGAAGAGGTTGGACTAAATGACCTTTAAAGGCCCTTAGCTCCAACATTGTCTTTTAAGATTTCTAGCTCTGTGGTGCAGTGGATAGAGTACCAGCCCTGAAGTCAGGAGGACCTGAGTTCAAATCTATCCTCAGACCAAACACTTGACACTTACTAGCTGTGTGACCCTGGGCAAGTCACTTAACCCCAATTGCCTTAAAAAAAAAAGATGACACTTGGTATTCTAAGATACCATAAAATGTGAAATTCTATGTTCTGGGAGCAGCTAAGTGGTGCAGTGGCTACAGCAGAGCACCAGGCCTGGAGTCAGGAGGACCTGAGTTCAAATATGGCCTCAGACATTTACTAGCTGTGTGACCCTGGGCAAATCACTTACCCCAATTGCCTTTTTAAAAACAATTCTATATTCTAAAATTCTCTCCACCTCTAACATTCTGTGTTCCAAGGAACCTCTCAGCTCCAACAATCTGTAGTCTAAAATCTGTATCCTAAGATCCCTTTCAGCTCTGACACTTTGTGCATCCATAAGCTTCTAGGTAGCAAGCAGGGAAGTGGACCAAATGCCCCTGTGACATATTATAGGTGCTGGCCCTTGGGGGAAGCCAGAGTCGGGGCTAGGCCACCAGCTCCCAGTGCTGCCTGGGAGGAGACCAGCTTTCCCCTGGCCCTTGTAAGTTTCCAGCTCTGTCTTGTTTGAGTGGCTGGGCCTTGCAAGGTGGTGAGGCCCCCAGACAGACATGCATGCTGGGGCTGGCATGTGATCCTGCATGACAAGCCTGGGACAGACCTTTGGCTTTGGGCATGAGAGCATCTAAAAGTGTGTGTTTCTACCTGGGGAGACAGTAGGTGGTATGCATGGGTGAGTAGGGCTTTGGAGCAATGGGGAGAGGAGTATATAAGATATAACATTTTGCTGGCAAGACAGCAAGACATTCAGTAGAATATATAGCTTTAATTCCCAGAAGTAAGGGACCCTAGATATGTTGAGTGAGCAAATGGATCTGGAGAATTCCTGAGTCCTAAGAGGATCTTGAAGATTGAGCCCCAGGAAGAGTATTAGGGAGCGAGGGGACTAGAAGGAAAGTCCAAGGAGATAGGCCCATATTGGGAGAGCACAGATGGGGAGCCTGGGGTAAATGTATGGAAGAAATGGGGTGGGGGCATATTCTCCCAAGCAGCCCTGGGGAAGAGGGATGGAAAGATGCAAGAAGGGATATACCTGTTCATTTTATTCTCTTTGAGTAATGAATCTCCAAAGTCAGACACCTCTGGGAACCCG